CAACAAGAAGGGGAAATTCAAGGCAGAGAGTATATTATAACCAGAGATTGAATTATCTCCAGTGTATCTGAACATCTTCCAACAATGACTTTCGTTTGTGAGCATAGTTAGGCCAGGAAAGGTAAGAGGGCCATGCCAGTGAAGGGCTGTGTACCCTTTGCAAGCAACGTTATGTTTACGGAACCTGATGAGATTTCTCCAGAAACCCGACGATCCTATCTGAAAAGCTAGCCACTGAACGTTCAGGCGCTCCCCAGTTTTCCGGCCTAGAAATGGTTGTCTCTACTGTTAAGTTGGACCAGAGTTTGGTAATCCTTTTACGATTTTGTACCAACGATGACAAATGGAACCTATCGCGATGGCAGGAGAGAGGTGTAGCAGTGGCTCTTCAGATAATTTTCTGCGCATGGCTACTCCATAATTATCACTAATATTTGTCCGGCACCATCCAAAGGGAGATGGCAAAAATTTGATTTTTTCTCTCTGCTTTCGCGGTATCTCCATTTCATGGCCAAGGTTATGTGGTCAGAAAACAGAACCTCGATTTGAGCATCAAGTTTCTCCATCTGAGCCTCGACAATTTTGATGTCTTCATCCATCACATTCGATACCAGTTGAATTACTTTTCGTGCCTCTGAAACGACAGAGGGGCCCGAGAAAGATCAAAGCTGTTCGTTTATGTCTTTATCGTCAAGCTTTAAACAAGCTCTGTGAGCTAAGTGCTGTCATGGGTTGAAACAAATGAGCGCTCAAGGGTGAGAAATAGCATTCTCTTTAACATTGTATTACAACTCCAGTACACTTGCCTGTTGTCCTTGAAAAAATGCAACCTTGACCGCGAAGCCCTTGAGAATCCCTTGAGAAACCCAAAAAAAGATCTATGTTGAAAGTAATTTGAAAAAAAAAAAAGGAATGGTCCAACCAGGACTCGAACCTGGGCCTCACGGGACAGCCTTCCGCGTCCACTACCCCATGCGCGCTAACCACTACACCATTGGACCGATGTAATTATTTCTTTTGCAGAGATATTTGACTGCTCCGAAGCCAACGAAAAAATTGATACCAACACAATTACTTTTTAGCGTACTGATTACGAAGGTCTTCCCATATAGAGAACATCTGAAGCCCATTTCCCCACCTGCTTTTCATCCTCCTCTCTCTTCATCTTCATCTCAGGTGTCGCAGCTGCCATGAAGTCTTTATCGGACTGGAAGCCGTTGTAAACCCAACAAAAAAGACCTGAAGACGAATACTGAATAATTGAGTAAATGTTCTTCTCCAGGTTGAATGGGCACATTCGAGTGGGTCAGCAGTGCGGAGGGAATGAGAATTGTAGATCCAGGAGGAAAGCGTATGACAAGACCAAGGTCCCAGAGAATCATATGCCCACCGCAATCTGGATCAAAGTTACCTAGAGCAGTGATAGCACACCATCCGAAAGCAAGGTTGTGGCAGTCAGTATGAGGCCAGGTGACCTGTACATGGGCCGAGGTTAAAGGAAACGCCTGCGAAAACACCGTTGAACCATCGAGTAAGTCTAGGATTGGAAGCAAAAAGGTTGTTGAGGTTTTTGTTGTACAATCCAAACATATTCGCCGCAAAGCATTGGAAGATGGCTATAGAAGAAAACAATTAGAAATTAAATATCAATAAAATGAGGGAGTAGCTTACAGTTTGCAAAACCCAACAAGACGACAGAAGCCAGAAGACGCAATAAGGCTGACAAGGATGGCACGATTGGCTACACCATAGAAAGCCATTGTACCAGGTCTCTGCAGTTGAAAAATTAGCTGGGGATGGGATGGAGAATCAGCGCCTATACCTTACTACCCCCGCCAAACAATGTACCTACAGCAACCGAAAGAAACTTCCCTCTTTTATGATATTCCTGTTTCTTACTGAACGTCATACTGCCGGAGCATCTTTGATTTGGGCCGTAAGTTCGGTCATAACTGCATCCCAATTATCATCCCTAGGTTTGCCGGCAAGAACTGCAATGATACGGCCTGCTTTATCTATGACAACATAACAATCCCTAGAGCAGTTTGAGCTGCGTAAGTAAATAAAACAAATTGAAGGCATGGACCCACTCACTTTCCATTCCATGGAACAAGTCCAGCTTATATTCCTCACCAGTAAGCGCAGCAACGTCTGGAAGTATTTTCTCAAAGATTTGCCTGAGCCCCGACCATGCACCCTTGTTGACAGGAAGGTCTTCAGTGGAAAAAGAATTGCCGGTGCTGAGGGTTTGCGCCTCTGCAGCACAACAGCATGCAACCTCTTTCAGAGCCTTCTGCAGAGCAGGTTGGGCTGGCTGATCAACCTTTCGTTTAACGCTTCACTGCTCATGCTTTCTTTGGGATTTTTCTTTTCTTTGAGCTGCCTTCCTTTGATCCAGAGGCAGCTGAGCAGCATCCCCTCAAGGAGGCTTCTGCGGGTCAGCTTGTGCTTTTGGCTACTTTTCTGTGAAAAGTGATAATTCAAGGCTCTGCGGTGCATTGGTGCTTTTAGGGCATCGCTTTCTGCTGTGTGAAGAAGTGGATGAATGAGCCCAAAAGATGGAAGTGGGAAAGCACCGGGGTTGCCCTCAGGAGAGGGAGGCACGTGGCTCCCAGGGGCAGAAGAGAAACAAGGTTTCATCACTGTGCACAGAAAAAGGGGCATGGGCGACACAGGAGAACTCATAGCAGCTGCAGTCTCCTGCAGCAGAGGATGCTGGAGGCGAGCCGTGGCTAGCGGTGGAAGGTGGAAAAGAAGGTGCGCCTTTGATGCAATAGTCGCAGTCATTGCAGTCGCTCTCTAGGTCTACATTGTGGTTGCCTTTGTCATCAGAGAGGGGTCAATATACTGGTCAAGAGCCAGAGACATGTTGTACTCCATAGGCCCGCAGATTGGCTGGCTGGGAGAAAGCGCATAGGCTCTAAACTCTTTTCCTGAGCGTACTGTGAGGTAGAAGTAGTCAGAAATGCAGTAGAGAATATGACGAGGATAAGTCGGCTCAGGGCGTTAATGGTAAGGAGGTAGAAGAAGAAAGAAAAAAGGCAAAGCAGCAATCTGCCAGGCCACAAAGATGAGCCCTCGGGGTATGCTTGCAGTGCGGGTAAGGTAGTAGCAAAGACAAACGAAACAACAGGAGATGGTATTACATTGGGTTGTCATCCTGCGGGCCTGAATGTTAAGGAGAGAAAGTATAAGCAGAAGTACCAGATGTAAGCGCATAGCACAACCTGAACGTTGAAGGGAAGCGGTAACTCCTGCAACAAATAGGAATTTATCATTGTGCATCACGTGGTATGTCCATGAGCGCTCAGCATTGACGTTAACCAAGTTGTCGAAAGCTTTCTTATAATGGCAAGATTGATACTTCTCCCAACCAACCACTGTCTCAGTGAAATTGACAGTCTCTTCATCTGCGACATCCCTGGTTTGTCTAAAGATCTATGTATTTCCGCCCAGGAGTCAGAGGTCAAATGATGACAAGATAAGTATTGAACTACAACGACCAAGCGACCAAATTGTGTTTACAATGAGTGTTTTTAACCATCGCATCTTCGGCTAGAAGGGCAAAAGGAGGGAGCCTATAATTCATACAACTCCTAGACCCAGCAACTCAGCGACTCAGCGGCTGAGAGTTCCGAGCAGTTGTTGATCCCTCACAAGTCAAGCAGAGAGCACTCTCAGATTAGTAAACGGAAATGTATTATAAGATAGGATACACACCCCTTGTTATGCCTTTTCCGTTGTTCATTGACTTTGGCCTTTGTCACTGCCACCAACCACATATGATTGTGAGGAAATGTTTGACAAAGAGATATGTTCGACAAAGAGATATATGTGAACGACATGTAAAGATGTAAGAAAATGAAGTGTGTGTTGCTTACTGTAGAGTCACCTTTTCTGCATCAAAGAGGGTGAGATGTATGCATGGATATAACCAAAGAATGTCGAGTGGATTTTTCTGTAAAGAGGTATGGGATACCACGAGAAATAACACCGCTGACCCTGAAAGGGAACATGACTTGAGATCAAGATCTGGTGACCAGAAGAAACATCAGCATTCTCGATGTTTGTAGTGGTAGCATCATTGCTGAGCGATGAACATCAAAACTCAGGTGCGAAATGGAAGAGATAACGAACAAGTAATGAAAAGAAAGCGAGATTGGCATTATGCACCAGTGAGGTTGTGAGCTAATTGTGCATCCATTGGTTGCATGGATGAAGTTTATCAGAGTTGGTAGCCTTTTCCGATAAAACGCTTGGGGTGGAGAAAACAGTAGACCGTGTCAGCTACAGTAATGACAATCAAGATTGAAAGAGATTGTGCTAACAAACACTTTGTGCCTGAGGGACACCTGTCACGGAAACACTGGATACACAGCTGGAGTTGTCTGGAGGCTTGGCAGGAGGATCCCCTCATCCACATTGACAGAGCGTACCGGTGAATTCATGTCTACATCTAAAGCTTTTCAGCGATAAGCAAAAGCTAAAGCAAGAACAATGTCAAATGTGCGAAAGCTTACTGTAAGCCTGGGCTTACCACAGTTTCTATAATGTGCATATATAGTGGCCAGTGACATTCAAAGGCACCGGCCACTATATATGCACATTATTGAACTTGGTAAGCCCAGGCTTACACTTATCAGTGACAAAAAATCTCTTTCAGTTTCCAGGAAGGCCAGCGATTGGTTAAAATCAGGTTCAGAAGTGTAAAGATCTGCTCTGCGGGGCCCGTGCAGGCAAGGTGGAAAGAGATGGCTGTCGGTGTCATGATGATGGTCGACGACTGAAAATGGCAGTGAAATTGAAAGAGTCCAAAATCACGTGAAAATTTGTTGTTATAAGCTTTTGTGAGGAGAAGGAGAATATGACACGCGTCGGACAGTATGCAAAGCAACTCATCTTCCAGTATAACATAGCCATTTCATAGCTCACAAAGAAAATTACTTTGAGTCACTGCCAAAAGAAATCAAAATACGAGGCATAAGTCCTGGTTGATGGTACGGTCCAACCAGGACTCGGACCTGGATCTCACGGAGGGACGTATGTTTTCTATCATCAAGCCATTGTGCATGTTAACCTCTACACTATTGGACCTTGGTAGTACTTCTTTACATTAGTACTAATAAGATCATAATCATGTTAGGGTAGAATTAGATAGGTAGCTGTAACAGCTAGTCTTTATGGGCATTGGCTAGTACCATCCCTGCGTTGGCCTCGTAGTTTACCTTCTTTACCGGAGTCAAGCTCGCCACCTGCGTCAGCGTAGGGACCTGTATGGGACTGGCACTTTCAGCTGGCATGGGCTGTGTAATATTGTATTACAGTCCAAAGGAAGCTCCATTCATCCCCAACGTATGCAAAGTGCATGTGTAGCTTCACCTGGTGCACATGCTGCAGTAGTAGTAACTGGCACATTGCTAGGAAGACTACCTTTAATGACAAGTTTAACGAAGGCTCCAATCTCCTCAAATTGAGGGCGGAAACTGGTAAAGCCCCAAGTTCATATAAGATGTGCTTTGTCAACGGGGAATAGGATGAGAAAGTCTGATACGGTACCATTCAGCCGACGCAAGATGTTCACAATCAAGGCAAATGATATTCCATGATTTACAAAGGCAGATTAATCACTACTTATTTAAAACGTGCTGATGGGGGAGTGGTTAGGGTGTCCAACTTAGGGTCCAAGTACTTGTTGTCGCCAGGTCTACCGTTCTTGCTTAAACAAGACACTGCACACGGGAAGCCGCTTTCCGGCACTGTACAGCGCCAGGAGCTGCTAGGCTGGAGTCACTCAAAACGGCTGCATAGTGCCTGAGCCGTTTTGAGTGGCTCCAGCTCACTTACGTTTTACTGATGCACTATAAGGCTGTATATGTGTATTTACAGTATTTCTCCAAAAAAATACAATATACCAACACTAGTATTCTAGCTAGTAGCAAAATATACAAAGAAAAGATAAAGAAAAGACGAGATGGAAAGACAACAGACTTGTAAAGTGTAAAGTCCAGAAACCAGCCCAATCAAGAGCCCAATCTATTGACAGGGAATTTGAATGTGAAAGTCAGCATACATGATCCTCGCGTGCTTGCTTGACTGCTCCAAACTTCTAGGTCTGGACCAACGTGATTGGACCAAGGTAACAGCAGTGCAGTCATTGAATTTAGCAACATTCGAAGACATAGCGAGACTCTGTAGGTCTGAAACAATGGGATCAGAGTGGAAGTTGATAATCAATATATTGTCTGATATGTATATTTACTCTGAAAATTATTCACAAAAAATGCTGGACACTTATCCAGTATATTGTCTGAAGTCCAGCCATTTCCTTCCCAATCACTCAAGCTTGGTACAAGCATACAACTCTGTCTAATATCTGACAATGGAATGATTTCACCTTGAGGAGTGCCATTTGAGGCACTGACTGATGGTTGTACGCGATACATTCCATTTTTACTATCAGGTACACTTTTAAATCAAGAAAACCATGTAACATATGCAAGAGGTGTTTCAGCCTAGGGCCAGTTTGGGGGAGTGTCCTCTTCAGATCTTTGCCCAAGTCTTTTTACCACTTTAGGGAGCCGGAATATGACCCTAAGTCTGGCAACCCTACAGCCTCTTACTGCTGTAGATTCAGCTTCATCATTGATCAATATTATCACTGTATCATATCGAGACTTTGACTTTGACTTGGAGTTTTTTTTGATGGAAGAAGGGGCGGCTCTTACTATTTCTTTTGGCACATCTGACGCATCATCAAACAGATTCACAGGTGTAAATTTAGAATGGTGCCAAACATTGAGTAAAGTAAAAGGAAGACATCCTATTGATAAAGCTTCTGCTTTTGTAACCTGTCCTTCTTTTGGAAGAAGAGAGCTTATATAAAGCTTCAATGCCAGTATAAAACCAGGTGCATTATGAGAATTTGCAATTGCATTAAGACTTTTTTGTCTCATGTGGGTGTTTAGCTATTCGGATGTTGGTCTGCAGCAATGTTTTGGTATTAGCATTACTAGTACTGGCAGGAGTAGCAGTGGCGGCTCTTTGATCACTGTTCGGAATCTGTCTCTTTTTCAACCCAAGTTTGGCAACATCAAGCTTCAGAGTAATATCATTTTTCTGTGCACCCTGATTGGTACTAGTAGAATCAATCCAGTTTCTATAAAAATCAAATGACAATATTTTTTCTTGTCTTGAAAGCCACTGGGTCATCTGAGGGAAGTGATCGCGTTTATTGGTGGCATCCCAGGCTTCTTTTACCATGTCTATATGGAAACACTCAAATGCTTCTGTGTTGTAGTTATCAGTTGTGCCAAGCCACTTGATGGAATTTACATAATGAAGCAGAGAATGGAATTTGGGAATGTTGATTTGATCTTTGGTAGTCTGTTGTTCAACAAAGTAAGCCTTATTTTTGTGCCAGACATTTAGTTCTAAATCCATATAGCCAAGGGTATCCTCATCATGTGAAGGATACTGAGCAAGGTGTATGAAATTCAACAAGGCTTTGCAAGCTACGATTCCCCTTTGGTCAACTTTGCCTGTTAGAGATGCAAGGAGGATACATGCTGTGTGCTTATGCTCAGTTCCAGTTACCTGGCTGAAATCTGCTATCCCCTTTTTGAAATGATGTACTCCACATGTAGGCAGTAGGACTTGGAATCGTTGATCAAGTTCACTTTCACCTACAATTTCTTGCACCCATTTAAGTAGATGCTTGAATACTCCCTGATAACACTGGTGGAGAATATCAGGGGTGATGCAATCATGAATGTCTGTTAGAGGAAAGTCTTTCCAAAAAGGTTCAATTCCCCCAGCAACATTGTGCTTCATAGCAAGGGTATGTGTGCGACTCTTGCTTTTTTGTGTAGAATTTGAATCTTGGCCTGGAGTAGCCTTCTGATTAGCTACTGAAGTATCATGAGCTTCTTTCATTATTTCTAAGGTCCATAACACCGTCTGAGAGTCCCCAGCACTGGCAAGACCCAAGTCATTTGCCTTTCGCTGGCACTTTGGACAGGTGCCATACTTTGTGCATGTTACGAGACATTGTTCGGGATAGTCTGCAACATATGTACAGAGCAGAGGATAGACTTTCCTCACATTGCCATTGCCTCCAACCATTTCTATCCCCCTGTTTTTGGATTTCAAGCAGATTTTAATGGTTCCAGCACATGAGCCATAGAACAATGAAAAATTTCATACATTTGTAATTTAAGATCTTTTTTTGTAAGGCCTTGTTTATTTGGCTTATCGACCGAGAGATAAGCAATAATGACACGTGCCCGGGCACTGGGCTTCCTCCTTAAAGCCTTGGGCAAATTGCCAATTGTGAGATATACCGGGTATGCTGATTTGTTCCCTGAGAATCTGGTTAGATTTGTTTTATCAGAGGCTATAATCACAGGACAGACTGTCCCTCCAACTGGAATTGCATGCTAGGTTTTGAATTGAGATTTGCAAGAAGTGGCAGCCGACAGATAAGTTCAATTACACACCTGCACTGCATTCCAAAAACCTGTAGTCCACATCTCAGAGTAGATACAATTGTTTTCAGTCTGTTCTGCCCCACAAAAAAGCTTTCCTGGTTTGTACACCAAGTGTTCAGCAAAGGCAGGATCACCCCAGAGCGCTTTGATTGCTTCAACTGGGTCCCGATGATACACAGTGAAATGTTCACCAGGTTTATCATGGAATGATAATTGTTTAGTCCACCAATTTCCACATCTCTTGGGATTTCATCAATGCACTTTAGCACACACAGAGGCGCACTGTCAGTTTTGTGTCATCCACTGAAATTGAAACTGGACGCTTAAATTAGATAAGATATCTTTGTTACCACCACAAGCCATGATTCATCCTTCTCTCTACTGAGTACTGAGTACTGAGCGCTGAGCACCAAGTCTGGAAGACGCTAACTGACAAAACCGTGGGGGTCATTTGATATATATCCGGCCTGGTGCAAGGCTGTTGAATTCAGCTACTGCCAACCTATAGGCACTAGTATAGAACTTTTCACAAATGATCAGTATGTGCTTTCATTCATTTGACAATTGTAACTGAGGCTTAAGTATTAGGGAAATACCTCTGCGAGGTCACAGTATGCCATCTGTCGCGTCAAAAGGTTTCCTGCATGAGGATATCGTACGTTTGGTATATTTGGTGCACTGTTTGGTATATCTATTGATGTAAGGTGAGTGCACGAGCAAAGTAATTGGCTGGCTTACCAGCTGTGCAGGCTCCCTTTGGTTGTTCGATGTTTGGTAAAAGCTGCTGCAAATGTCCGTTAGTCTGCGTATATTCGGGAACTCGACTTTTGGTGTATTGAACCCTCATTCTACAAAGAAAGGGGAGCTCTGCCATATGTTGCGTTTGGAAATAACCCTCAGTTTGCTGTGCAATAAAATTCTCTCGTCTTCCTATCATTAACCGACAGGAAGGTTTTAGTCCAAGGCGTCCGTATACAGAAGTGCTGGATTGGCATCAGGACTCACCCTTCATCCTACGTTTCCTTCGACTCGCTTTGAGAGGCAGGGTTCTTGCTTGTCGGGACATCATGAGACAATGAAAATGAAGGACATTCCATAATTCAGAGTTAAATACTCGGAGGTATTAGCGGTGGCTGAATTTATGACTCAAAGTAATGAACTTCTGTCGCTACATCTCAGAGCTTCCTGCCGGACAAACAGACAAACCACAAAGGTGCACTGTCTCAGACTCCCCCTTTGGACAGATGCAAAATCCCACTGCCAAACACCTCAAAGAGCTGTCGATGCTAATTTCACATTGTCACTGCTAGATCCGTCCTTGTCTACCGATGTTCTATCTGCCTCGAATGATATCACGACAAACGGTGCTCAGGTGTTTGGTCCACTTTTACAACAACAGAAGAGAAATTTCTACCAGCAATCTCAGCTTCGACTCAAACGATTGCGTGGCTTGGAGGATCTCCTCTGTTGTCTCCCCATCATCCAGAGGAACTTTACCGCTTGCCTCTATCAGCACGAGAACCTACTATCCTACGCAATCTTTATCACCTGCGCCAATACTTTCCCGAAATTATATTGTCCATGGAGATTGCCCTGTTCCATATATTGGATGCCTATCCTGATGAAACGTCGGAAACTCTTAGGTCAATGATGACGGTACACATATTTTTTGGGTCATGCCATGTTCAAGTTTTAATGTGATTGCAGGCGGTGAAGCATGGCAAAGTAGTGCTATTGCAATTTCCTCGCCAAAGTTTCGAAACACTCGGTGTTCAATGATGGGTAGATGATGTTGTAAAATATCTCGTCAATAGGTGGTGCTCCAAATCCCCGAGAACTCATGGACTCGGCACTTGGTTCGCCTGCAAGTTCCTTTTTCAGGATACTCAGTGTGTGCACACCAAAACCAGGACCTTGACCTCAGAAGATGAACTGGGTGTGCAAAAGTGGTGTCGCACTGCTGAGGTACAATTCTTATTTTGGTTTACGGGTTTTGCTAAGTTGAGAGTGGAAGGCCCAAGGACTTACAAACTGGGGTTGCGCATTCATTCCAATTAATGATTTTCACTTCTGCTGCTCAATATGAAGAGCCAGTAGGCTCAAAGCATGACATTCTAGATATGTATGGAGAAGAACTTAATCATAACGAATGTGAGTGCTTCGTCATTATATCCAATTCTTCCTCATTTACATATTTTTTGGTAGTACAAGGAGTCAATGAAAGTGGCGCTGCGTGAGTTGTGCGATTCGTCCGCATGGTGACAAACTAGTATGCTTCTGCCACTTTCATTTGGTATAACACCTCAAGATGGGTCAACAACTTGGCTATCATGGTGAATCGCTTTTGCTACAATGAGATTGGCCTGAGCCGGGATGTTGTCCCACAATCTTCCCTCCCAACTCTACTGAGTACATCTTGGCAGTGTCCGGATATCTAGCTAAATGTTGCTAAGAAGCTTTGTATTTGCTTTGGGCTCGCTGTTCCACTTTGCAGTAGCTTCAATGCTATCTGTTTTTCCCTTAGAATGATTCATACACTAGCAGGCTAGCAAATTTCAGATTCAATGAAGCGTGAGGGGTACAAGTACAAGCTGAGCAAAAAAGAAAAACGAACAACCCACGTCCCACATTCAGAACCCTTTACACACCAGAAGAGAGAGGAGTAATGAGACATGCTATATGACAGTGGTATTTGACAGTGGTATTCGACTTTGACATCTGCTGATCAACGCATCCCAGGCATGCTTGAATCAGCCCAAGTTTTGCCGATTGGTGCAATGAATGATGGAGGCTAGTAAGTATGTTGAGTGATCAAATTGGATTGCAAGGGTACATGTATTTACCAATGGCAGCCGCAGATGGCCCTCTGCTAAAGGAGTGGGCAAAAAGGACTCTTCAAATTCAAACGATAATGATGCCGGAGGAATGAGACCAGTAGAAAATGTTGTAGGAAAGTTCAAATTCATGGGGTGCATAATACTAGAGGAGCCGTGCAAAGCAGAATCTTGGGAGGAGGGAGAGGGTGTATCTTCGATTCCCACATAAGAGTGTACTCGCTGCTCCTTGGAGCCAGTAAACATGGGGGCGAAACGCTGAAGATGCTCTTCCCCAAATTTGAGGTTCTCTTCCCTGATGCAGAGAGCCTCCTCCTTGGACTGGAGTCTCTCTTTTTCGATGCAGAGTCTCTCCTCTTGGATTCTGAGCCTCTCCTCGTCATCCCTTATTTTCTCCTCCCTGTTGAAGATTTCATTGTCCTTGTCACGGAGCTTCTTCAACCTTTGGCTCACTTGCTGTTCCGCAGCATGTAGGCTTTTTTGCGGACCGAAACCAGAGGCATTGTAAAGGGCAGCATATTCAGAGTCATTGATGTTCATCCTCTCTTGAACTCGCATTCTCTTCAGAAAGTCCCTCTTCGTACACCCCATCGAGTAGGTGCATTCTATTCCTTTGTGGTAGCATCGATCGCACGCCTGGTTGGAACTATCAGTAAATGGGTCTGCCAAAATATTTCAAATACAAACAAGATTATGGTACTTTTGATTCAGCTCTCGTTTTTTGGTTTTTGTTCCCGGTCCTCTGTAGATTTTATGGAACTCCTTCAATAAGTTATCGCTGATCTCATGGGCCTTTGAATTTTCAATAGTCTCCGCATTCTCTGTGTCACGAGCCACCCAACTTTCCTGCCAAACAGTGGACTGTTCCGGCGCATCAGTGCTCACTGAAGTTTGTGGCTGGCACATTAGATTCTGTCCATAGTAAGACAGGTGTCTGTAGTGAGATAAGGGAACCCCAGCAGATGTCCATTGCTGTTCAAATGTTTGGCCAGATGTCAAGCCACCTGCGCAGACACAGTGATCCATGAGTAGTTTTCTGTCTGACAAAAGACAGTGACTTTGATCTTTATAACAGTACAAGTACAAGAACTTTCAAGAAAAAGTAATGTGTCCCTTAGCAACAGAAAGAGATCCAGAAAAAATAACTGATATCGTAAATATAGATTTCTTGTTGAGGCAAAGGAATATCCTTAATCAAGTCCTTAATTGACTCAGAGAAACACATGTCTGTGACTAGCACTGTAAAAAAAGTACATGTTTTTCACTTTGCTTTGTTACCGCAATTCTCATTCCACTTAGGAAAAACTAGGCGTGATGTCGATAACAAATACCTTGAAGTTGTTGATGACACAATACTCAAACTAGCAAACCAATAAACATCAACAATGGAGATGTGAAGACACTAGTGCCAAGAGCAATGTTGTTTACATGCGTCTTTTTCCCTGTTTTTTGGTTACTAAGAAGATTCCAGGATGCAAACAAACTCAAGCTCAAGCTCAACTAGTGGAGTTCCAGCACAAATCAGCGGTAGCAAATGACTGTCGTTGATGAATCTTCAGGCCTTCCTGTCCATCTATAGAATATCGCAGTTGAATATTGAATTTTCCCTGCTCGTGTTAATCTAAAACATTATAGATCCTCCTCCTGATTCCCTCTTTATGGCACAAAAGACGCTCTCTACTCTTGCAATTCCTCATGGGTCAACCTTCGAGTAATCAGAATCGGGTACATCCAAAGGAACAACCGGCAACCATGGAACATGCCTGAGATAGGTAGGTAAAAGAACCTATCTCATTGCCTGTACCGTCGTTGCCCAGATGGCTGAGTGGTTAGGCGGTTCATGGCGGTTCATGCAAATGGGTTGTGGACTGACATGGGTTCAACTCCCAGTTTGGGTGCTGCGGCTGTTATCGGGATCTACTCTTAAGTTTTTTCTACTGTTTTGCTGCTCACTTCTGGCATGACATTAAGTTACAGCTGGAATGTATCATATTCATTCTGAGAAGCTGGGGAATGCAACCAGCTGGGCGGTATCTGGGCGCATAAGTTATCTTGCAGTGATGTCAAGCTCAAGTTTACTACTTAGGTGTCAATAATACATCTGGACTCCAGATCCACAGTCTAATGTACCGTTTCTTCCCAACTGTTCAATGGAAAACTGGCTATCCTAGTTGTGAAGAAATTGTTGATAATATAACCTCAATTTCTTTACATATTCCAAACTTTTGTTCTGGTATGTTTTCTGTGTGGTCGTCAATCCGTTCAGATGGAAGTGGGGGCTCTTTGTCTTTTTTGGACTAGGTGAAAGTTTACCGCTGAGTTTTGTAGAACAGGAGGATTGGCTGAGGGAGAAGTTGAATTGGGAAGCGGAGCAAATCGACCGTAACAATAAAAGTAAATAGATAACAAGGTTGTTGTAAGATGATAGGTTTAGTGCCTATGTTTGATGATATCTGCGGACTACTTGGCCCGTGTGCACTCTTAAACGACCGCCAATGGCCACTATATATTATCTGGCTTGCCCTATGTTCTCGACCTAAAACCACCAATCAAATGGTTGTCATCTCAAGAAACCAATTTGAACCAAAGCTTCCCATTCACTGATTTAAACAGTGAAACTCCCGACCAGTTTGTTGTCAGAACTTACCCTCAATTTTTGTGGCTTCCAGAGGTAAATTTGCTTGAATCTAGTCGATGTCGGTTACTGACTGCTTTCCAGTCCATAATGCCCTTGAATTTGTCAAGTCGCATCAACCTCGGCAGATGCTTCATCCTCTCCCTCACTGCACGTGCTTCTGCAAATAAGTATCACATCAAACTACCAGAAATTCTTGATAACAATGGCGGTGCTGGAGAGATTGAGGAAACAATGATGTGGTTTGCATTGAGCCAGGTGAAGAGCAATGTTGAGGACCAAGCCAAATGCGAATGGACACGCTCCAACAGCTCAGAGAATGGTGCTCATAGCAGTCACCTCATAGAAACTCCCATTTGGATGAATAATGATTGGAGGCTTAGATGGATAAGGAGAATGGGACAACACAAGTAAGTCGCTTTACCTATTTCTAACATACACTGAATGTATGTCGGTATAGGGCTCAAATACAAATATTGCTCTACTTTCTCATCCTTTCGCTTCCTGGACCACAGCCTTCACACCCGGAATCTCCTGAAATGTCATCCATAAAGTGTAGGAAGAGACCACAAAAGAAGATTGCTCCTGTTGCAACTCCCTAAGGGCCTGTTCAGCAGCGGGATCTGATCCGAGTTTGCGCGAGTTTCAAAACTCAAATTCCCTAATATATTATAGCGTGATTTTGCGTGACTGTCAAAGTTTATCCGCGTGAATTGATACAATTTTCGACGATTTCGACGATAACATGCCTCCTCCCCCACACATTCTTATTGACCAGTTGAAGAAATTGGTAGTTGCCTATGCTTTTCTTGTCAATGTCATTACTGTTGTTGTCACTGTCTATGCTGCACCTAACTATTGGAAGCAAGAATATCACAACTCTCAAATGACAGGACTTGCTTGGGTAAAAGAGCTTGCCCATGGCCATCCTGACCGGATTTGGAGTGAACTGGGGGTCCGCTTACATGTTTTTATTGCCCTAGTTGAACAACTCAGAGCATTGGGCATGGAGCAGACAAGGTATGTCAGTCTCGAGGAGCAGGTTGCTATCTTCCTGTACATGTGTGTTACTGGACTTTCTGTGTGCCATGTCGGCAAATGGTTTCAACGTGCCAATGCCACTGTCTCCAAGTATGAGTAGTTCATTTACTTCCCTGGTAGTTCTTACATTATATTGGCAGATACTTCTGTGAAGTGCTCAACAAACTCTCATCTCCACCATTCTATACTCTATATGTCCAGTTGCCAACTGCTGACAGTCCCGTTCCCGATTTTATCCTACACAATCCAAAGTTTTTCCCTTTCTTTGAAGGGGCATTGGGGGCAGTAGATGGTACACACATTCACTGTATGCCTAGCGCTAAAGAGCGTGATCTTGCACGGAACTGCAAAGGCTTCATGTCACAGAACTGCCTTGCTGTCTGTTCATTCAACCTCCACTTTTTGTATTTTGTAGCTGGCTGGGATGGTTCAACTGCAGATGCAACAATGTTTGTTGATTCTCAGGTGACTGACTTGCCAGTTCCAGAAGGACGCTAATATCTGGCTGATGCAGGATTTGGATCTTGTAGCACCTTGATTCTTCCTTATTCGGGTGTGCGCTATCATTTAAAAGAATGGGAAAGGGCAGATAAACGGTTTGTGCTCTAAATATTACTGAGACTGTTGAAGCTGACTTTAAAGTAGACCTGTCAATCAGCAAGAATTATTTAACCTGCGACATGCTGTAGTACAAAATGCAGTTGAACGTATCTTTGGTGTTGTCAAGGCACGCTGGGAGGTTTTGAACCGTCCAGCCGCCTTTGACTTGGCTATTCAAGCTCGTATTCCTCCTGCTCTTGCAGCTTTGCACAACTTCATCCTTCAGTTTGATCCTTCTGATATTGAGGATTTTCTCAATGATCCAGGAGTGGTTGATGATGAACCCAGTGCTGCGGATTATACAAGGGACATCTATGGAAGACTTGCAGAGGGCGCCCCCTCCAGAGAGGAGAAAGAAAAGGCAGAAAAGTTACGTGATCAAATTGCAGAAAAGATGTGGATTCAGTATCAGGAGTGGCTAGCAAAAGTAGGTTTATCGGACAACATTGATATGTAGTAGCTACAGTAACACTAGCTAGAATCTACTGAGAATCTACTACACACTCCGCTCCTGAGTCAAAACATTATCAATATATGCTCGCCGCATCAAAGGATTCAAAAAACTAGTGTATGTATCAACCACCGCCTTGTCCCGTCATCGCTTCTGCAACACCCAAATCCTCCTTCTCAACCAAGGACACTGCTTTTGCACGACGTGCCGGTGTGAGCAATAGTGAAGTGTCAGATTGTACAGCAAATGGCGCAGGAGGTGCAAGAAAATTACGGATCACATCATTCATCCCAGCAACTGCTCCAAGAAGACCAGTAAGAACTTCTGAGCCTTTGACCTTTTTCGAGGAAGATGGGGTAAAGATATTATCACTTGATCGTTTAAATGATACCAGAGCTGGCGTTTTAGGAGGCTGCGAAGACGCTGAAGGCTTTGGTGAAGGAGGAGGTGAAACCAAGACAGAGATATGACCGTGAGGAGTGACTGGAGACTATAATCATGGAGTAAGTAGGGGTTCATAGGTATTGCAGGTGTCCATACCTCAACATTGACACCTTCATCCCCCAGCTTCTCCATATCGTCATCCAACTTCCCATAGTCCCACTCCTGGCTTTCAAAAGCATCCTCCTTTGCATCACTCTGCTGAGCCGCTACACCTGAAGGATGAAAGACATTGGTACCCTTCAGTTTGTATGGCATGATCTTCTCTACATCGTGCAAAAAGATCCAGCCCTTGTTACGAAAAGGCTTGGCGGTCTTATTCCTTCCAACAAACTTGTCCCAAGCCTCAGCAGTGAGACCTGTGATGCCTGCTCCATGTTCGTCACTCCATGGACCCCAACCAGACTGCTCCTTGATCTTTCCAATGATGTTGTACTTTTCTTTACACTAAAGAGAGTGATAAACCTGAAAATGGACTTGAAAATATATTTTCATGCACATACAGTCTGCCATTTGACTCTACATGCTTCCTTGTCCTTGTCCCCTCCAACAGTGGTAACACCCTTCATGAAATCTGCAGCAGCTGAAAATGTCTTCCCTTTGAAGCTGTAACCTTCACCCATCTCTGAACAAACAGTGTATAGATATCCGAGGAATTCCTTGGTGTCTGTATCAGTCCACTGTGCCGGTTTTGACTTCGGGGGCTTTCTGGGCCAGGATTTGGGTCCGTCTGAGGTTTTCAGTGCCTCTTTTGCTTCCTCGTGAGGATTTTCAGTCATGGATGAAAAGACAAAAGAAGTTATGCCTGATTTGCGCGAGCCATATCTTTTCAATGGCAGAAAAGATGCGATGTGCGCAAATCAGGCGTAATTTAGTTACGTGGAGTAACTAATTTGTCACATCAAAGTAACAATCTCATATTTTTCGAGATCCCAAAACTCGGATCAGATTTTGTTGCTGAACAGGCCCTAAGATTGCCTAGAAGGTTTCATGGACAAGCTTTCCATATGGCAACTAATGGGAGATTTAGACTCGAACAAAGTCGTTTGTATAACAACAAAAGAGAAAAACGAGTTGGACTGGGCACAATCATTTGTCAAAACACTATCGAACCTTTGTTAGTCACCATCTTCAGCATATAATCTGCAGCTAAAATCTATCACAGATTCAAATTAAGCCTACCAGAATCTTGTGTGCTTTTTCAGTCCAAAGTCTCTCCTAATTCACCATTCTCAGATGAAGAAGATGAGCAGTTTGGAGAGACACAACGAGCATCGGATGATTCCAGGGATGGCCTAATCAGACCATTCAATCCACCTACACGACATCCATCAGCTGCTCTCTCCACAACTTCCACTGCGTTCAACTGAGAGCTCAAACATGCTCCATCTCAGCAGGATTTTCAACGGTCCAGACTACAGCGCGAGCGTTCTCGCTCATTATCCGTCTCACTGGCTGAAGAGGCTGAAGGAAAACAAAAAGCCAAACACACTGGTCTTGGGTCAAATAAAGGCAGAGTCCTCTCCCGAGAGGTCTCTATGTGGTTCAAATTCAAGAACAAAGTGCCTACTGCCATGACAGCTGCTACTGCATCTTTTTGGCTGTCAGAATCTCATCCACGCAAACAAGATAAACCAACCAAACATGAACCATCCGTGACTGTGTTGGTAGAAGCGACGCCGTCAAAACCAGTCAGGACTGTATTGATGTTGCAAGTCCATATAGCTGAC